AATAGTGGCTTTTTCTTTTTGGTAGACCTTTTTCTGTGGCTTAAAACCAAGATAAATTCTTGTTCTCAGCAATGACATTGACAGCCAGTTAGTAATGGGCCACCAGAGATCCAGCCAGAATCACAGGTAGCTGCCCCCATTGCTGAAACGGAGAAATAAATTCCCGAATGCCAGTTTTTAAGCACTGGGCTTCATGTTGCAGAAGGTTATCTTTTCTTATCCATGAAATCAGGTATTCTCGTTCAGCCCAGTACAGAGAAAGACAACAGTCAATCAGGACTACCAAGGACTTGCCTGGATACTTCCAAAGACAAGAAGATGAGAGACATGCTTCAAATTCTCAGTTAAAGAGAGTAGTTTTATCTATAACAACTACATGCATGGCAAGGAATTATCTGCAGATTGGGATATCCCAGCGTTCGAATTTGGGCCAGATTTTGCTTTTGGCTGGGCATATGGTTGGAGTGGCACTGCAATGGAAATCAGAGTTAGACTTGCGTATCACAGAGCACACTGTCAGAATTTGTTGAAATATCTCACAGTAATATACCTCATTCTTAACCGAAAAGCAAATTTAAATTGCCAATATTACACTATCCCCTAATTTTTACTATGAAGACGAGATGCAACCATTACCACAATACACAAACATCTGAATATTGTTTCACTGCTTAGTAATCAAACACATGTAACAATGACACAACCTAGTTAAAAGATTCCACAATCCAATTTCAACAAAATACAGAGCACACAGTAGCTCATTTCCCACCATGTCTAATTAAATAAACATATCTCCAATGCTGTACTTCTCCCTGCACATATTTTTTTTTTTTAATGTATATACTTCAGGCCATAAACCCAGTTATTCTCTTCAGATCCTTTTCTTTATAATCTGTGTAAAATCAACATTACAGGATTGCTTCACAAAGCAAGGACAGACCAGACGCCAATCAGAAATACAAATACCTCTTTTCAAAATTACTATTTGATCTTTGATCTCCCAGGCTGAAAAATAGCTTTGCCCAAGCTACTGCACTGCATATATTACTTGTTAATATTGTGTGTGTGTGTCCCCAAAAAAAACCCTAGTCAATATTTTACTCTCTTTGAAGGGAGAAGACCTGTTGGTTCTGTCCCTCAGTTCAGAACTAAGGTTTTCTAAGCTTTAATCCATGCTTATAAAGAAATTAGCTATTTCAGAAGTCAGAACATGCTCAGTGACATTCTTTCACAGATCAGATTTTGAGTTTAGTCTGCAATGAATTTTGAATATATGGCTTCTAGTGTTCTATTTTTACCAAGTTTATCCTTCTGATATGAAATATACTTTCACACGTTTAGGGATTAAAGTTCCAATGTTTATATTAGCTCAAGTGTTTAGGGTAAAACTAGTTTTAAAAACACCAAGCTGTGAATCTATCACATTTAGACTCTTTATACCGCTAAAAAAATAAAAAGATAGCAAACATACACTGTATTATTCCAATAGCTGAGAAAGAGAAAGAAAGTAATTTTTACTCTTATTAAAATACATACAAAAAAATACATACTAAAAAAATTGGTCGGATTGCATCACCCTTCTCAAGAAAATATACAAAGCCTGAATTTATGCTTACAAATATACACATAAATTGTCCATTTGTCGTAAGACAATAGTGTAAATCACATGCTTAAAATTAAACACATGCATAAAAGTTTTCACGACATTCTTTACACAATTAAAAAATGTTATGTAATTATCAACCTATATGCCCATCCTAGGCAAAAACTGACACCAATCTAATCACTTCTCAAATACATTTACGCAGAATCATGTTGTTCTACAGTAAAATGCAAACTCTACACCAAATTTTTCCTGGCTTTATAGGTGCAGATGCATTTACAGGTTCATTCTCTCAATGGCTTTTATTATCTGCTGATTAATCCAAAGAAAGGTTATCCAAAACCTGTCTCCCCTAAAACTTTGTAGATGGACCAATTCAGGTGGCTACCTGCAACTGCACCACAGGCTGAAGTCATAGTGCACAGCATAAAGAAAAGACAAAGTCACATTTTCTTTTGCCTTCCAATTCGTTCTTCACTAGTACAGTTTCTGCACACATTTCTTTTTGTAGTTTCTGCACATATTTCTTTTCTCATGACTGTTTCATTTCCCAGGAATTTCTCTGCCTCATCATCCATTAATCACTTTTCCTTCTAACCTTCCTTCTTATTCAGCACAAAGCAAATCTCGAGGAGGAAACTCTCACTGTCAAAACTTTTAACCAAACTTCCAAGAAAAACAAATGAAACAGCCATGAACAACTTACTGCTTTTAGGGCACTTCAACTAGATAGGTTCCTCCATCAACGAGCTTTACCAGCAGAAGACAAGAGATATTTTAATCCAGTATCCTCGCATTGTTTTGTTTAGACCATCCTCCTACTCACAGTACTTCTCATCAAACTTAAATGTTTTCATTCAAGGCTAAGCTGTGTCAGTAAAAGTTGAATTTGGGTCTAACAAGCATAAAAAGAGAAGCACAACACATCTACTTGACTATGCTATGCCTCCCGCGTTCATTATTCTTTACTAAAATAGCCAAAGACAGACAACAGAAAGAGACAAGACAGAACATGATGTTGAAAAGTTTGTGCTAAAATACTTGCAGCCCAAAATAATTGTATTTACTGCTGATATCAAACTCCATCAATATTTAGACACTGCAGGTGCCTGTAACTGATTCACAGCAAATGCCTGCTTTCCTAAACTAGTACCCGTGCTTCAGCACTATAACATGCAACACAGGTAGCGGCAGCATATTAAACGTCTGGGCAGCAAACTTTAAAAAAAAAAAAAAAGACAGCACATTAAGATTTAAATATTATCTCTGACTTTGACTACCTCTCTGAGCAAAAAGAGCACCATGGTACTAGGATTTCCAGAGATTTATATGCCAGTGTTCTTGAAAAGCTCTTAGGATGAATGCAGTAATGCATGCCTGAAATAACTGATCTCTTACAAGTGCTGCTCTCTGGATAGCATCTTCTGTCTCTCAAGGCAATGTGCAATCTGATGAGCAATATTACTCAGAATATGCAAAAGAGACGCCAAGAGTTTACCAAAGACATTCATATCTTTAAAAGTTATCTCCACCAAGTTACAGCAGGACTCAGAATGCATATGCTGACAAAATGCAAATAAAAAAAGCTCACTTCATTTCAAAACTGACAAAGTGTATGTACAGAACACGTTAGTATGTAGTAGCTTTTTTATTATTATTTATTTTAAAACATTTATAATGTCAGAAGCAATTCTGTAAGGCAGTCTTCTGCAACAGTATCTCTAATAAAGGGACCTAAAGATAATAGAGATGTTCTGCATTTCCACTGGCTTTCAAAAACATAACAGAGACCAAGAACTTTACTCAGTAAGACTACCCCAACAACTCAAGGAACTGTTCTGTGTAGGTAAAGGGATGGGGTGGGGAGGAGCAGAACCATATTTTAGGCATTGGTTTCATACAGCTTTTAAACATCTATTTAATTCAATGACTCTGGTGATTTGAATGGTACTTACTCTTCAAAAAAAAAAAATTTTAAAGTATCCTTGTATATAAAGATCGTGTAAATACTTCTATCAGACTTCAACAGCAAGTAAAACCATCAGTATACTCAAAAGGTTCTCAAAGCTAAATTACTTAAACTTTTAGGAGTCTACATGAGGCAGCTGTGTTTAAAGATCTGGACCTGTAAGGACTATTCTGCAAGCACACATTACACTTCACTGCAACATATACCACTGAATGGGAAGAACTCACACAGTCCCACTTGGAAGAAGTATTCTTACCCTCTTCTGCATTATTTAATTGATATTCTTGATGTTTCTCCCTCTGACTGTATTAATTTTCAGACTTACAGGGTGCCATTTTTTTCTTTTTTCTTTAATGACTTCAGTCAACAACACACAGAACCATTTAGGAGTATCATGAAGCAATTTTTTTGCTAGAGGGAACAAAGTGACGATACGTGTTCCAAACCATGTCAAAGTTACATGAGTAAGAAAGGTGTGGTCTGCTTCAGCTAGTTACAACATTTAGACTTTCAGAGCCAAGGCAGCTGCAATGCTAGTGGCACAACCAGCATTCCTACTTTTTGAAATTGCTTAGCTCTGCCAGGCTATAATGTGGTGGATAGAGTTGCCATCCTGTTTAACGTTTGACTCCAACTACTCTCAGGTGTCCACATCTAGAAACATTTAATAAGCCACAGCTTAGTTTTATTTCAAATAATATCTGCATAACAAATCTCCAGTAATTAAACTATACAAGAAACATAAAGGACAGAAATGTAATTACTGTAAAAAAGGACAGTAAAAATATCAGTTACACTGAAAACCATTGAGTATTTTATACAGACATATAATGGGTCTCCAGAGGAAATGTTCACCCACTTGAGTACACGGTCCATAAGCAAGCATTTAATTTTCTTAAGGGCTGCTGCTGCCACAATTCCACAAAAGTTTCTACTATAAACTAACAGGAAAAATAAAATCACTTTGAAATCCTACATAAAACTGCAATTGGTTTATGCCTTTGCTCAGCTAAGCGCTGAGCACCACTACAGTTCTGTTGAGAATACCCACAACTTTGCAGATCAGAACCTAAGCTTTATAAGCAACTGTCTGCTTTTCATCACTTAGTTATTTCTTTTAAAACTGCAGAGTACAGTAGGGTGCGTCATGTTAACTGAAAGCCCAGAGGCATTTTGTTGCTCAGGTAGAACTGAAGCTCTGCTTAAAAAAACAAGGAAAAAAAAAAGAAAATCAGAGTTCAATCAGCTGACCTTATCTTTGAAATCACAAAACAGAGCAATCGCTTTAGACCTTCACGACTTCAGCAATAAAGTTCTCAACACTGCGTGCATTATACAATAGCATTCATAATGCAACTTCATAAAGTGAGTTACAGCTTTCTCGCTCTTTTTATTTGATGTTTAACTACTAAAAGTCATGACACAAACCTGGGTCCACGTGTCTAGAGTTTCTTCTAATTCCATTCGTTCGTTTCTGCATAGCAAAAATACAAATCAAGGATATGAATAAACATGTTTTCATGTAGGCACATTACACTCCTTTCATTCCCACAATCTACTAGGCAAAGCTGGTCTTCTCAAGTTATTTCCTCCAACCACCACCACAATTATCTTTATCTTATAGAAAGATCATACTTTGAAAAATATTCTTAGTAATGTAGACAGTTTTTTCATACATCCTATTTTTTCTGACACTAGGCTCAAAAGATTCTTAGTCCGTAGGTTTATTCACACATCAACATCTTTTGATACCAAGAACAGATTTATTTTTTAATCATTTATGAATAGGATAGTGGGAAAATATGCAGCTTGGCATTATCTGCCCCAGATTATGTCCACAAACACAAAAGTATCGAAGCTGCTTGTGTTGCTTTAATCAGGTAGAAACTTTCACTATTCACTATTCCTACTTTGTACTTAAGGTAGCTAGAATTTCCTATGCAATTCTTAGTTTCCTTATTTTCTGGGCAAGTACTTAAATATATTTAGTAATTCGCCTCCCTATTTCTTTTAAATTTGGATGAACCAGAGCTGTGTGAAATCAGAAGCTCTCTGACAAGACTAGACTTTTTAATTTTTTTTATGTATTTTATACTCCAAACACTTAATCCCTGAAAATTTCAATGCAAAATAATGCGTATCTGTGAACTACCGATCTGCTTTTGCAAACGTGTTTTAACTGGTAGCTTTCATGAAGGTTCATGCATTTATTTATTTTTTAATCAAACCAAGCAGAGAAAAGCATGTTGCATAACAAAGGGAACAATTAGGTTGCTCCAATTTACTTGCAGTTGATATAAGCTGATGCAGGACACACACCGAGGCAAGCCAGAAAGCAGTAACCTGAGGCACAACCAAATTACTAAGCCCTGTAGCAAGCTGGCAAAATGAAAAACTTGGTTTAAAAACAGCTTTCAAACTCTTGTGTCTTTGGACATACTCTCCCTGTACCCCACAACTCTAACCAAAGAAAGGATGCAAGTTTTGTTTCATCTGCAGTGGAAAGAAGAAAAATTTAAAACTACTGCTACAATGAAGGTAGTGTTACTGAGTAAGAACAAAAGGCTCAATTATATCTTAATTATTTTTTTTAAATGGAGACTGTATTGCTGATAAGGATTGATGCAGAGTGGTGCGTAACTGCAGATTTGCACAAGAGAGGGAAAGGGGCAGGAGTGGGAAAAGCAAGCATGAAGGAAAATACAGAAATGTTTAACTGAAATTAAAAAAAAAAAAAAATTCTGTGACAATGTAAGTCACATACACCAACATGTAATGGAAAACAATTTTAAGGAAATAATTCTTGAGCTGTATGAAAACATGCTCAATACTCTTAAATATATTGCAGTACCAGTAGATTTTATTACATTACTGGTATGAAATCTAAGTCCATGTTTTCCAAAAAGACAGATCCTCATCTATGCTCAAAAGTTTCCTTCTGCACAGGGAGAATTAAAGGAGGCAGTTAAACAAGAGTTTTGGTAAAAATGAAAGCAATCCTGACGTTTTGGATCAACTCAACAGTCAATAGCAAATCAATTAAAGGGGGCTTATAAAAAAGATGGCGACAGACTTTTTAGCAGGGCCTGTTGTGACAAGACAAGGGGGAATGGCTTTAAACTAAAGGGGGGTAGATTCAGACTAGATAAAGAAGAAATGTTTTACGCTGAGGGTGGTGAAGCACTGGCCCAGGTTGCCCAGAGAGGTGGTGGATGCCCCATCCCTGGAAACATTCCAGGTCAGGTTGGACGGGGCTCTGAGCAACCTGCTCTAGTTGAAGATGTCCCTGCCCACGGCAGGGGGGTTGGACTAGATGGCCTTTAGAGGTCCCTTCCAACCCAAACCATTCTATGATTCTAGGATAATAGCTTCAGAAAGGAAGCCATTTTTTCCTCACAAAAAAGATTTACAAATCAAGCTAGGGGGGTGAGAAGCCGAGGAGCAGGAGGGATTAGATACAAACAGTATTCCTATTTTCTTCATCCAGCCACAGTACGTTCACCACAGTTAGCTTTCCCGAGTCTGGCAACCTCGTCCGCACGGCCCAGTGAACGACCTGTTTATGGCCCCCCAGCGCTGCCTGCCATCTGCAGTACTGGGAAACCGCTGGGCAAACGGACCGTGCTGGGGTTCCCCTATTTCAGAGTGCCCTTACTCAGCGGATATTTCTAGGCAGAGCCATGAAAAAGCCGGGCAGCACACGGCACGGCTGAGGGAGCAGCGAGGAGAGCGGGCAGGCGGCAGCACCTTGGGCACAGGCACGGTCTGTGGTGGCGCAG